TTCATCCAGATGACGTGGACTATATAACAGGAAAATGTAGGAATCATCTTGAATTCTTATTTTATGGTCCTAAAGAGCCAAAAATGCGAGGAATGGTCACTGCGAAGCGATAACTATTATTCATTAGTCAATTTTTATTGGCATGCAAAATTTTAGGAGATTCGGAGTCAATCGCGTGAATTCATGCATATGGCATGGACTCATATGAAAATATGGAAATCGTTTTGACGTGATATTTTACGGCCCTAAAATTCCAAAAAACGTGGAACGGTCATGACAAAGCAATGACTATTATTCATTAGGTCATTTTTATGGACCGACAAAATTTTAGGAGATTCGGGGTTGGTCGTCCGAATTCATACAAATGACGTGGATTATGTCACATGAAAATTTAGGAAACTTCCTGAATTCCTGCTTTATGATCTTAAAATGCCGAAAAATGAGGAATGGTCATAGCGAAGAAATAACTATTGTTAATTAAGTCATTTTTTATGGGCCCGCAAAAGTTTTGAAGATTCAAAGCAGGTCGCCCGAATTCATACATACAGTATGGACTAGCACACGAAAATCTAGGAATTGTCCTGAATTCCTGTTTTATGGTCCTAAAATGCCAAAAAATGAGAAGCGGTCATGGCCAAGCAATGACTATTATTTATTAGGTTATTTTTTATGAGCCCGCAAAATTTTAGGAGTTTTCAGGTCGGTCGCCCGAATTCATGAAGATGACATGGACTATTATAGCACACGAAAATCTGGGAATCATCTTGAATTCCTGTTTTATGGCCATAAAATGCCAAAAAACGAGGAACGGTCATGGTGAAGCGATGACTATTGTTCATTATGTCATTTTTTATGAGCCCGCAAAATTTAAGATATTCGGAACTGGTCGCCCGAATTCATGCTGATGGTGTGGACAGCACACAAAATTTTGTGAAGCGATGAGTACTGGTCACTAGGACGTTTCCTATGGAGTTACGAAAATTCTGGCCAATTGGAGTCCGTCAAAGAATTCTACAAAATCATCATGTACTACTACACACGAAAAAATAAATATAATCATAAATTCATATTGCATGACCCTGAAACGCCTTAAAATGAACTCGAAAGTATGGCGAAGCAATGGGTTTCGGTCACTAGGTTGTTCCTCATGGACCTATAAAATTTCAGGCCAATCAGAGACCTTCAAAAAATTATACTAAATTAGCATGTACTAATTCACACGAAAAAGTGAATATAATCAAAAAATTATATTGCATGATTATGAAGCGCCATAAAATGAATCTGAAAGTCATGGCAAAGCAATGTGTATTGGTCACTAGTCCGTTTTCTATGAACCTACAAAAATTTAGACTGATCAAAATCCATCAAAAAAATTCTACAAAATTCGCAAATACTCATGCACACAAAAAATGAACATAATCATAAATTTGTGTTGTATGAACTCGTGACTATAGGTGAGCAATTTTGAAAGGTTAATGTTGGTTTGATAAGAATATGGGTTTTGTCTTTCCGAAGGAAAACAAAATGAACGAAGGTCGAAGAAATTCAATTGAAAGTAAGGGAAACTAAGAAAAACACACGCACGCACAAAGACAGACACACCACAACTTGTACTCAACCTCAAAATCTCGGTTGCTGAAAATGCCCAGAAATACTATCAAGTTTGCTTACGGATGAAAGAGATGAAGTAGAAAAACATATATAAGTGACTACGTTGGAATTTTCATTAAGAGGATTTAAAATATTAATAAGTAAATACTTTTTAACATATAATATATTACATAAAAAATTGACCTACCAACCCACGCCGCTCCCTTTGGTTTCCTATAATCTTAGTTCTTATCCTCTCCATAATGCTTTGTTTGGCATGCCATTGCCTACATACCTAAAATAAATAAATAGAAGCGTTACCTATTTAATATTTGAACTTTTATATGAGGTATTTCATATATTTTAACATGGTATTAAAACACGCTACAGATTCGGTTGAAATCTCATCAAACCCATCAGGAAAAAAAAATGTGTTTAGCCAAGAAAAAAGTTTCAAAGTATACTTGCCGAAACATAATAAAAAGGCAGTCTGGTGCACGAAGCATCCTGCATTCACGTAAGGTTCGGAGAAGGGTCGCACCTCAAGGGGTGTAATGTAGGCAACCTATCCTAATGCAAGTATCAATAGCTGATTCTACGGTTCGAACACGCGACCTATGGGTCATACGGAGACAACTTTACCGTTGCTCCACGCAGGGGCGGAGGGAGGGTGTTATCTACGAGTTCGGACGAACCCAGTAACTTTTTGCTTAGACCCTGTAGTTGTACTAGAAAATTTATTAAATATGTATAAACACTTATAATTAGTTGCGAACCCAGTAACTAACGAGCTATGGGTTCGATTGTAACTTCAAAACCCATAAACTTTAAATCTTGTCTCCGTCTCTGACTCCGCGGCTCCCCTACTGTATGCTAGAACATAACGTAGACATGAAATATATAGCCAAGGTTCATCTTTTCTTTAAAAAGTAAAAATTTTAAATCAGGAGGTTTGCACGATTCAGCACATCCAAAGTAAAATTTAAGGAAATAAGTTCTTTTTTCGAAATTTTGGCGTATTTAACAAGAACCATTACGATCTAAATGGTCAAAATTTATATCTACATGTATTATGTGTTGACTCCCCTTAATTTTCTGGTATGTTTATTTTTATATATTTTGACACCCCTTAATAAAAAATTTGGCTCCGCCACTTGTCATTGCAATATTGATGAAAATTAACTTTCTTTTTCTGCTTGGAATTGGAAGGAGGCCATGCTTTTAGCCAAGCATCCTTTGTAAACTCCCAAATATATATAGCACACTTATTATTGCTTATGTGGTTGATTAGTCTAGGATTATAGAAGTAGAAATGGACTAACATAGAAGGAGGGAAAGAGGAAGTAGAAGAGAAGAGATAATCTTATGTACTAACCAATTTGAAACTATTTATATAATCAGATCACTTAAAAGACAATTGATAACTTAACAAAAATAATCACTTACTTGATATCAAAGGCTGATCAAGAAGTTTGAGCTTATGAGTTTTGGATTCTAGAAAAGGTTTGTTCCGGATAAATTATTTATACTTATTTAATATATTTCTTAACACAAATACAGGTTTTGAAAAAAGTTATCAGGTCCTACCCAATTTGTAGCTAAAACTCTACCTGTCTCTGTCTGACATAATAGATTAAATTATGTTGATAGTATAAACTACAAAAATAATCTAAGTGTGGTTGTCAAGAAAGGTCATGCAATGATTCACTAACATCATATACAGTTAAACCTTCTATAACAGTCTTGTTTGTTCCGATATTTTTTGGCTGCTATAGTGAAGTATTGTTATAGAGGACATATATTATAACATAACACAAAAATAGGTTCCGAAATTTTTTGGCTTTTATAGTGAATGATTATTATATAAAAATGTTGTTATAGAGAGGTCTGACTGTCCGTGTATGGCTAATATACCTTAATTATAGGCTAAACGTATGGCCCCTTAAGCTGTGATTACGAAGTTCGCATGTTCATACTTTATTCAAATTACTATGATTAAGCTGTTTTAATCATTCCTACAACAAAACATCTGTATTAATTAGAAGCTCCCATTATATTTGCCTAGCCTATAATTCATGACTAAGAATCAAACATTCTCTTCTCCTTTTTATAGTTTCTCCAGTAGAAAAATAATGGCTGTGAGCAGGAAAATAAAACTCAGTCCACTGTTTTTCATTGTCTTGTTTTCATTTTTTATATTTCATATACAATTTGTGATGGCTAAATCAAGAGGGTGTTGTGGAATGGGCTGGGCCAGCCCAATAACAAGAGGTGAAACAAAGCCCAAGAAATTTGTTGATCAGAAATTTGAAGGAATATTTTCAGAGGATATTAAAGCTAAAGAGGATTATGGTGGAGAAGATGATGATTTTGATCATTTCTATAGACAACATGAAGATATTCCAAGCCCAGGTGTAGGCAACTGAGTGAGAACATATACATATGATATCTATCTCAGTTCAGCTTCTTGAAAATGCACTATACTCATATGTGCATTTACAAAATTTTGCTTTATTCTAAACTTAAAGTCATGAGTGCATAGAAATTATATATACTTAATGTTTATCTTGTTTTTTTTTTTTAAAAATATTTCTTGCCCCATATTGATATTGTGTATGGTAAGTTTGGGAACTTGCATATTCAGAATTTGAAAGTGAATTGTTTATCCACAAAGAGAAAGAAAGTTCTCTTCTAATTCCGCTTTTTGCTCTTCCAATTCAAAGTGACTTGTCGAAAATTTTTGCTCTTCCAATTCAAAGTGACTTGTCGAAAATCGTTGTTTGTCTTGGTCTTACCAAGAAAGACAAGGGGTTGGTACTGGATTTTCTCAGAATTGGAACTTCTTGAAGGTTTTGCTTCACATGTTATGATTTAAGCTTTTTCAGATTATATTCGTACATATCATGAGATTTACAACAACAACAAACCCAATAAAATCTCACAAGTTGGATATGTGAAGGATAATGTATACGCAGACCTTATCAATACGGACAAAAAAGCTATTTTCCATAGACCCATATCATGAGATTTCAATGTTAAATATATATNCTTTATATATTTCACTTAACCCCTAAAAAAGACTTGATCTCACATGTATAATAATATTATTTTGCTTTTCCCCTCTTTTATTGTTTTAGTGGTTAGCCATAATGTTGTGATATGTCACAACATTTACAAAGTTAGTATGTAATCAATTAACTTAAAGAGATGCTTGTCAAGGGACTTATCTTTTTAGCCATTTTAGATCATGAAGTGGCCTTCCACTAAGCAATTGAACAAGTTCTCATTTGGACTTTTCTATTAACTTAGTGGGCAGCCATAAAGCCATTACACAAATATGTAAGAGGTTGTCATGTTGCTATATAAAAGCAAAAGTCCTTAACTTTACAACACAAGTCTTAGTTCTTACCTTCCCTTCTCCAATTATAGTTGCCTGCAAATTCAAAATGAGAAGCTTTGGAAATCTGGGGCAACTTGCATTTACTTTGGCAATTTGCTTAGTAGCAACTACTGTTGTTGCTGATTACTCTTATGGCGACACTTCTCCCTCACCCTCTAAGTACTACAAATCACCTTCGCCTTCAAAGTACCATGCCCAGGTAACGGTCTCTTACAAACATTATCCTTCACACTATTACAAGTCGCCTTCGCTATCAAAGTACCATAGCCATTCTACCAACATTTACAAATCACCTCTACCTTTGAAGCATGATTATTACAAAGCTTCAAAACCAACAAAATATTACAAATCACCACTACCTTTGAAGCATGATTACTACAAAGCACCAAAACCAACAAAATATTACAAATCACCCACTCCTCCAAAACACAACTACAAGTCACCATCGCCGATTAAGTATTACAAGTCACCTGCTCCTTCAAAACACTATTACTACAAGTCACCATCACCAATAAAATATTATAAGTCACCTGCTCCTGCGAAATACAACAAGCCGAAGCCACCAACAAAATATTATAAGTCACCAGTTTACTACAAGTCTCCACCACCACCAAAGTATTATGAGAAATCACCTTCTTATTACAAGTCAACTCCACCCCCTCTAAAATACTATGAACATTCACCCTCCTATTACAAGTCACCTCCACCCCCACCGAAATACTACGAGCAGTCACCATCTTCCTACAAATCTCATCCACCTCCACCAAAGTATTACGAGCAACAACCTTCATATAAGTCTCCACCTCCACCACCAAAATATTACGAGCAATCCCCAACTTACTATAAATCATCTCCTCCACCATACTACAAATCTCCTCCACCCCCACCCAAATACGTCGAGCAATTACCTACGACTTACAATACACCACATCTACCAAAAATTGATGAACAATTACCACCATACTACAAATCACCACCAACAACAACAACAAGCTACTACAAGCAAACTCCCACCTACGCGTCACCTCCCCCACCGGTAAAGTATGAGCAATCTCCCACCTACAGTTCACCTCCACCACCAGCCTACTAGTAATTGATATTAAAGCCATTCTTCTCTATAATTTCCATCATCTCCTTGGCTTTTAACTTCTTTGCATCTCCATTTATTTTTCTACCTTGTTCCTAAGTTGTATGTATGGCTTTAAAATGATCAGATCTAAGTGGTGTGTTTTATTTTATTGTATAAGTTGTTTTGATATCGAAGATCGTTGTGATCTTCATTGATTCAGCTCATTGTATCAATATTTTGGAATGTAATTTCTTGAGAATTCTACTTCACTTCATACATTAAATCGTCATAGTTATGCTTCTACTTTCCTTCCATTACTACACCATTCTTGATGGCTCCAACAATTTTCATCTTCTTTTTTTGTTTTCTCCTATATGGTTTTTGGACTAGTGATTTGTTAGTTCAGTGAGCAATTATATTTATCATGTCAAAGTTGACATTTTGAACATCTCCCAAACAGCCAAACTAACTCATAAACAAAAGTAAGGATTGAACTATAGTAGTATGATGTTTTAACTAGTAGAATGGCGTATTCCTGTTTATTGTAGTGGTAAAAGGATAACTTCAAGTTTACTTTGTGACCACCACTTTACCTAGTAGGAATAGAAGAAAAGGCGTCCACAATTTAATTGAAAGAAACCTAAACTTATTGCAGGTAATCCAAGTTACTCCAATTGAATCGCTTATCAGAAGTCACTCCGATTGAATCAAGATAGTGTTTTTATAGTAACAACCTAAAGATCTGTTAGTGCTCAATTGTACTAAGAAAATCACAAATTAATAAATAGTATAAAGTACCAGTTTCTACAAAAAGGGGGCTTCCAGATGTGCACCAGATACTTTATTTGTGAGTTAAGCGACAAGCTAAGTTGCTCGGACTCGGTTGCGGATACGGGCACGGATCCGAGTATCGGATTCGGCAAAATCTAAATTTTAAGATTCGGGGGCGCGAATCAAGGTATGGATAAGGGTGCGGGGATTCGGCTAAGAAAATTCAAAATTATAAACAATAGAGCTATAAAGATATTAAATTTTGAGAGATATTCTATGAAAAACTTATATGAATATTGTAGAATTGAATTCTTGGTTTTTTCTGAAAAGCGAGGCAGCAAATATGAGACAAAAGAACTACTCCCTCTGTTTCAATTTGTGTGAACCTATTTCCTTTTTAGTCCGTGCCAAAAAGAATGACCCATTTCACTATTTGGAAACAATTTACCTTTATGCAATGATTTATAACCACACAAAATATATATGTCTCATTTTACACCACAAGTTCAAAAGTCTTCTCTCTTTTTTAAAACTATGTGCCTAGTCAAATATGTTCACATAAATTGAAACGGAGGGTGTATAATATTGAAGGTATGCCGTTTCCCATGTCTTAAATCTTTTACACCACAAGTTCAAAAGTCTTCTCTCTTTTTTTAAACTATGTGCCCAGTCAAATATGTTCACATAAATTGAAACGGAGGGTGTATAATATTGAAGGTATGCCGTTTCCTATGTCTTAAATCTTTTTTATTTTTAATTTTGACAATCAAAATTTCAATTTTTCCCGCAAATTTATCGATGGACTAGGTTCAAAGTATCCGAAGTTAGTTGACCGAATCCGGGACGTGTCCCGCACCCGCACCCGTCCTGTGTCGAGACGGCCTCTACACCAAAAGCGAAGAGTCCGCGCAACTAAGGCAATAAGGGATTTGGGCAATGTTCCTAAATATTTGAAGGGTTCAGTGAGTCATGCCACAATATGTGAAGAGTATTTCCCTATGTTGGCAAGGACAGAAAGTTGGCAGTAGTACTAAGCTCATATGGAGGACTATCCCTTTATGTGTCATGTGGAATATTTGTCTTGAAAGAAATAAAAGATATTTTGAAGGAGAGAAGCGACGTGTATCTTTTGTTAAGTATAGGTGTTTACAGAGTCTGTGTTTTTGGTGTACGGAGCAGGTAGTTGGAGAGGTAATAAGATCCAAATCACCATATTTCCGAACAAAAGACACATTTCAAGGTCAAGCTTCATGAGTACGACCATTATGATACTTCCCTGTGGTTATCATCAACTTTGGCATTGACTGGAAATACTTATGCTACTATTCCTAAATTTCGTGAAGAGTGCAATAGAAGCCAGAAAAATGTGGATCACTCATGAATTACAGCAGTAAAAGAACAGCAAAAGAACTTGAAAAAATTAATAAGATAAGTTTGTCTATAATATTCTTAGAAAATTGCCTTAAGCAAGCTGATACATAGTAAAATTGACAATTAGGACTAAAACCAAACAGACAAGTACTACTTTAAGTATTGATTACTAAAGTGAGATCAACTTACAGAGTGAATATCAGGACATCAGAAGCTCTTTTTTACTGTCTCTGCTAACTATTAATTGGCTGCTCGCCTTGCCAAGACCAAACAATTTTCTCGAGAGCAGGTCTTATAACTTGTCTCAGCATCTTTTGGTACTCCACCTTATCACCATATGATCTTTTCAGCTCAACCAAGTGGAAGGACGGCGTAATTTCAAAAATTTCCACATCGATGGACAGAGTCTCATATCTAGCTGCATTCAATCCCTCTAATCTTATAAATCCAGCTTCTTTCTTCTTTACTTCCAGCTTTAGGTTACGGCCGACTTCCTCAAGTTTGGACATGATAGAAGAAGCAGGCTTCACTGAAATGAATTGCAAGTCCTCCTTCTGATCCTTTCTTATGAATAAACCAGATAAATCAAATCCACTTGAAAGAGCGATTATATCAAATGCATTTAGATTTGTAAGTTTTGGTAACTCTAGCTTTGACGCAGAGGGAGAGGTACTGTTATGCGTACACGCATCGATATTAGCATTGGCATCTACGCTAAAGTTTTCCTTCTCTTCTAATTTGATTCCCGCATTTCTTGAATCCAACCCTTTTTTAAACCAGGAGTTTTCCTTTATTTTGGCTATTGAAATCCTTGTATGAGGGTTCGGGTCAAGGATCCTACAAACTAATTTCCGCACTTCTAGTGGGACCCAATTTGGGCATTTGAACTCAGCCTTCCTTATCTTCGTATACATCTCCATAAGATTTGAGTCGTGGAACGGAAGATAACCGGCCAGCAAGACAAATAAGATCACCCCACAAGACCAGATGTCAGCTTTGGCGCCATCATATCCTTTTCTGCTAATCACCTCAGGCGCAACATAAGCCGGGGTTCCACATGTTGTGTGGAGTAAGCCGTCCTGCCTCTTAGACTCGGCCAACGCACTCAATCCAAAGTCTGATACCTTAAGATTTCCATTCTCGGCCAGCAGCACATTTTCTGGTTTCAGATCACGGTGATAAACATCTCGGCTGTGGCAACACTCAACAGCACTAATCAATTGTTGAAAGTACTTCCTAGCTACATTTTCCTTGAGCCTCCCCTTCGTCAATTTTTTGAAAAGCTCACCGCCTTTGGCATGTTCAATCACTAAGTAAATCTTAGATTTAGTTGCCATGACCTCGTATAGCTGTAGAATATTTGGGTGTTTGACCAGTGCCATAACAGATATCTCTCTCTTAGTCTGTTCGATCAGTCCAGCCTTCAGAACCTTCTCTTTGTCAATTACCTTGATGGCTACACTCTGTCCCGTTTCAAGATTCCTTCCATAATAAACCTTAGCAAAATTTCCTTGGCCTAATAATCTCCCCAACTCATATTTTTGCATCAATACATTTCCTTTCTTCTCCTCCATTTGAACCAACAATCCTAGTAACAACTACAAGTAACTTTCTCCTGCTGTAAAGATGCTCGTTTATAACAGGCAGGAGGCCTTGTTACGGAGCTCAACCGTCTCCGACAAGACTGTGCTTCAGCATGACGGGATGTATAAGGGTTGTCGTTTCATTGTGCATCCGGCACGAGAAGTTAAGTGTGCTGTGAGCTGCACATTTGAGATCACGAAGGATGAGGAAGACTAACACCAATGCACACGGAAATTTAGTAGCCACCAAAAGGTAATCGCTGCTATATAACCCCATCCTTCTGCATCCCAATTATTTTGCTTTTACAAGCACTGAACATCAATAGGTAAAAGAGAGAGAGTCAGGAACTTGCAATGCAAGCTTAACAATTATTAACTTAAACACGAGCAGAAACTGGTGACTATGAAAAAAATGATATGTGAATTGAAAGTAGTATCAGGAACAGGGAAAAAGCAAAAGAACATTATATCAAGATGAATATCGCATTTTAACTTATGACACTCTCTGCCTCAAGAATACAACTGCAGTTAAACGGTCCATTCCAGAGTTACGATTTCTTCCTTACCATAAAATATGAATTATAAAAGATAAGGAAGAGTATACTGTATGTTTAGAAATTCAAATTGTGGTCGATCCTTCAGGAGTTACATTTGTAACCTAATGCAATATTATGTTCACGCGGTGATATTGGACAAATTTAACTCATCAAGGTCGAAAATTTAGCTAGATTGAATCATTTCATAGTCTTTGATAGATCCCTTTTTTGTGAAGTTCAGATGTTTAGCATAATAAATATATTGAAAATAAATTATAATCACCCTTCTTATCTTTAAAAAAAAGATGCAAAAACTTGATACATAAAATATGAGCTGATGACGCATGAAATATACGTTTCAGATCAAATTTGTAAATATTCATTAGCACATAAAGACAAAGAAATGATCTTCGAAATACCCGACCTCAGATGACTTATCACCCCGACCCCCCAAGTGGTGGAAGTAGGATTTTCACCAAGGAGATCCAAAAAATAAAAAACCAAACACGCAAAGAATCTAAGAGGATTCAACATCTTGTATATAAGAAAAAAATTACTAACATTATATATACAAGGTAATTATATATTGATTGCAATACCTCGCGTATTTAGTTTTGTATTTTTGCTTCAATTTTCTAATTGGTATGCTTGTTGTTGTTGCCCTTCCTTTTTCCTATCCTAAGTCGAGGGACTTCCGAAAAAAGCCTCTCAGCCTTCTTGAAGGTAGGGATAAGGTATGCAAACACATTACTTTCCCCAGACCCCACTTGTTGAATTACAATGGGTTTGTTGTTGTTGTATACAAGGTAATTTTCGGCGAAGGGGATTCGGCCAGCCTACAGCCCACCTAGCTCCGCCCCTCCCCCGGTTCATTGAAACCCCTTTTGCCGGTATATTTATGTATATAAGGTTAAGTTATATATATATTAGATGTCGAATAAACTTAACATCTTCACATAAATACTTTTTTATATATTTTTTAATCCCCTCGATTGAAAATTCTGCCTCCATTACT